AAAGGTATGTGATCCTTAAACTCCTAGGTCTGGGGGAGGTAGGTTATTATATAATGCTATGGCCTCCTCTGGACCTGGTATGTTTTATAGCAGTGATTTGTGAAGCTGACAACTTTTTAATTGCTATATTATCTTGTATAATATAATATCGTATTCTACCTCTATCATCTCTGTATCTTTTTTCTCTCTCTTTTTGTGTGTGTGTGTGTGTAAATACCTATCTTTTGTCATACTTAACCCAGGAGAACCCCAACCCTCAAAGACTGACCCTTGTTCATACTCTACCCTTTCATTTTTGTCACAAAATACCACAATCTGAAATTCTAATCCACCTCTCAGTGTTCCACTGTAATGGGGTGACAACTTGTATTCATTATTTGATAGCAGGTTTCCATGTAAGATTTCAAAGCTCAGCAAAAGGTTTCTCATACTCTGCGGTGAACAGGATAAGCTCTGTCATTCAGAAGATAAATCTGAGCTATCTGTATGTACAGAAACACTAAAATGAAAACATATGTTGGAGACAGGTATGCTCTAATGAGACTATTTTATTGAACTCCAGATTTCCACTCCTGATGTAGAAACCACCAGCACAATTATTTCCTGCTAGTATACTGACCACAGATAAAACTCAGGGAAGTAGTACCATCGAGCCTGATACATTATGCTTTACCCTTTCAGTGCAATTTTATGTAAACATATATACATCCAGAAAAGCTAGCTTTAAGTTGTGAGTCAGACACTGTATCTATAATTTATATAGGATTTAGAAGTGGTTTTATTGTCATTATTGCATCTTCTACCACACTTGCAGGATTAGAACTTCAAAGAAGAGCCTGCCAGAGGAAAATGCCGGAAATGTTTGCATTCCTGTACGATTCCATCATCCAGGGGCCTGTAATGGTGAAAGCACCCTCCAGCAGATGTTGTTTAAAAGGTCAGGTTAAGTCTTAACACACACTAGACATTCATTTCAGTTCTTCCCTTTCTAATTATTGATTATAACTCTCTCTCACCCTGGTTTGTACAGCAAACCCTTCTGGTGTCTCTGCTATGACAACTCTCACCAGCTGGAAACTTCTTGCAGCACTTTGACTCTCCTCCCCTGGTCTTTGTCAGCTTTCCAGACATTAATGAAACCAGCCTTTCAATATCCCAATGAGGTTAAGAAGATGCTCTTTATATTCGCAACTAAAGCACAGAGCAACTAATTCTAATTAGCACTAAGGCTTTCTTAGTTTATTTTGGCAGGATGTATTTACACTTCTCCAATCATGGCCTCTTCACTCTACTGAAAACTTCACAAGGAAAGACTAAGTCTCCTTAGTTGGAACTCATCTATAAAAAGTGAATGACTAAATTACACAATTGTCCTTTGTGATCTGCTAGGAATTGAATCCAGGTGTCTCGAGAGTAAGACTCTTTCAACTAGCTATACAAATAAATGGTATTGGGTTTTTTATAAAACTCCTTGGAGGTTTTCCCATGTAAATTGGACAGTACTTCTGTTTATTTTCCTGTGCATTAAATTCAAATTATATACCTCAGTATTATGGTTGTAACACTTGAAATGGAATTTCACGCTTCTGCACTGCATTTACTATTTTGTATTCTATTTGGAAAATAATGCATTATAATTTCCACCTAATACACTACCAGACCTTCTAGATGAGTGTCAGTTTGTGGGTTTTGTTGCCATAGTTTCCTTTGGTTTTTTCCCCCTTTTTATGTGTATTTTAAAAACGGAAGATCAAGTTCCCAAATATTATTCTGATAGCAATATTAGCAAACTAATTCCGTTTTATACGTATTATTTTTGGAGCATGACTATGGTGATTTACTAACTCTGAGATTAATTCTGCCTTATTGCAAAGAGTACGTAGGTACTACTTCAAAGCCAGGTTTTGACACCACCAACCTTAAGCAAGTTTCCCTAATTTCTGCCACTCACATATCAAGATGCCCTCTGTGGGGAAAGACAGGTAAGTCCTATTAAGCTGATGTCTCCCTTGCAATCAGGTGACCATTTAGTGAGATTTGTTAGAAGCAAGAAAAGCAAAATGATGCAGCATGTGAAGCCCAACTATTTCATATGACAGATTAATGGGATTTTATACAGCACTGTCATTTCTCTGCCAGATGCTACCCTTTTCCTAACAAAGGTGATCAAATTTTCCCCTGCAATACATGTAACACATCTGTGTGGATGCAACAACAATTGCAACCACTTATGCAAAGGTGAAATCAACGCCCATGAGCGAGTCTGGTGACAGAGTTCTTAGTGGTGACTACAGCCAAGCAGTGATGGCTGTGCCCAGAGGGGAAGTGGGTAAAAGGAGAGGTCTGCTGCCACAGGTGAAAGTATTACCTTGCTTTGGCCTGACACAAAAGGAATAAAAAATTGAAGCTACTGTCTTGAAGCAAAATATCTTCAGCATCTTGCCTCTTGCTGGGAGGATGATCGAACTCTGAGCTTAGCAGGATTTGAAAGTCAGAATGCCCCGCATCTCCCAGAGATTAACTGATATGTTTGTCTTCTGTGTGGAGACAATTTCCAGATGATTTTCTTGCCCTGAAGTCTGTTCTTGCATAGTAGCTCCTATTAAAATCCTGATGCAGCTTTCTCCTATACAAAATTTAAATCTGAGGTGTGATAATACTCAAACCCCTGAACACTGAAATGGCGCACTTCTAGCTACACTCAGTACTTCAGTGCCTCAGAAAAGGTCAGATTTCTATTGTTTGCAGCTCTCTTATATGCTAGTGCATAAGATCTTTGCCCTTGTTTTATTCTGGATTTGTAGGATGCATACAGGGAAGGACAAAAGATGACCAGTGTAGAAAATGTAGAAACTAACCAAACTAACCAAAACATGACACCTACTCTCCTTCTAAAAAGAGTTTTTATTTCAAACAAGTAATTTAGAATATGTGCCTATGGCAAGAAAGAACTAGACAACTATGGAAGGAAAAGAGATGATAATGGAGTTTTTTATTTAGATGAAGGAAGTCTTTTATAAAGAGGGACTTGTTGAACATTGTAAAATGCAAGCTTAGGTTTGGGGTAGTTTTCCTGTTGTGACTGCCATCTTTCAGCTGCTCAGGTTCTTCTTCTACCTAATGGCACATCTCAGTTGTACATACCTGACTCTGTAGTTGATGCAGATACAAATGGCTGAGCCCTGATAAGGTCAAGCGAACTATCCCTGTGAGGGAATAGAAACTCATATTTCCAGAGGGATAGAAGGTAACAATTCTTTTAACATTGTGGGTTTTCACATGAACTCAAGGATTTTTTTTTTTTTAGAAGTCCTCCTTTGTGTGTCAAACACATAATGTACAACTGCTGTAAAAATGAGTTTTCTGCTCAACATTCCAGCAGCCAGTTTGAGACTGAAGTGACCAGGTGCTGACCAGACTACAAAAACTTATTCCTTACTATTAACATTATCCATAAAGGCTGCCAAGCACTACTGAATTATCTGTTTTCTATTGCCTTGTTCTAAATTTCATGTATCAATAACTGGCCAAAGTTCCACAAATTGACCATGTTTAAACGAAGCAGTCCTGACCTCTCTTCAACCTTTATTAGGGTTTATTGGTGAGGTTTTTTTGAGGACAACAGAAAGCGAAAAGAGTAGGGTTAGTTTTGATGTAATCTATTCCCTGGTCTAACTCACCACATGGCAGTGCAAGCAACCACACCACTTCAAAAGAGAGGCTGATGCAAGGCCCAGACTTAACTGCAGTGAACAAGGGGAGGGCACGGCTGCTTGCCCTGGCAGTGGTGATGGCTTCAAGTGATCATTCAACTATGACCTTTCCCTCCATATATGGAAGTCTCTTGCAGGACCAGCTGAAGTCTGATTCATTATAAGAAACTGCCTATCCACTCTTCTGTACCTCTTTGTAGATAGGTATTTATGATTACATGAATATAAAGTAGGATCAAAAATGCTACCAAGCAGAAACAGAAGTAGCCTGTGTTCATCACAGTGGTGTGAGCGTGCACGCACACAGATTTTTAATTACTAGCACTCTTGCCATTCCTCCCACTCAAAAAAAACAAAACAAACAAACAAAAAAAAAGAGTCTTCCAAATATTTAAAGAATGTTAGCTTTTTTTCAAAGGATGGAACAAAGCACACGGCCTGTCAAAATCCAGAAATGCTTCGGGACAGTTGGGGCTGTTGAAAACGGGGCTGTTGAAAACCAAGTGGCCTCCTCAAACAGATCTGGAAAGTTTGGCTTCGACAGCAAGAAGCCTGACACCAGTGTCCACCCACCTTCGGCTGCTGGTCTAATGTTTCAAGAGTTCTTCAGCATCAGCCAAGCCAGCTGATGTTGCTAAAGGATGGGTGTTTATTACAGTGCTTAACATTTTTAAGAGAACCATGTAGCACTGCATAGACTGTGCGTCTCAGTATATGTTTAAATCAGCTGTTTGTGTACTACCTAACAGCTGAGGGTAAAAAGTAAAATAAGGGCTGTTTTCAGAACCCGTGGGGATTTTTTTTTGACGGCTTTATCTTCACGTCTCCTAGCCTGTGGAATTAAGACTTTCGCTCTTCGAGGCAACTCCTACTCACGCAGCCAAACTACTACTTACACGATATAGAATACAAAAACAAATTCCTACACCCTAATTCCTCTCCCTCTTTTGCCTAACGATATTCTGCACCACGCCGCATCCCGCCCGCCTCCCGACTCCTCCGTCCGCGCTGCTGTTCGTGCAAACAAACCCTGCGTGTCTCCCGCTCCCCCAGCCCGAGGGTTCCCGCAGCCCCTCAGGGGCGCTCGGAGCCGCCCGGGCGGCGCAGGCGCGGGCGGGCAGGCGCCATGTCGTGAGCGGAAGCGGGCGCGGACAGTGGGAGGGAGGGAGGGCGCACCGCGGCCCCGCCCGGCGGCGGGGAGGGCGAGGGGGAGGGACGGGCGCACCGCGGCGGCGGCAGAGGCAGGAGAAGCAGCGGTCGCCGCAGGAGCCGCCGCCGGAGCTAGCCGGGCTGTCCCGAGCGCTCGCCGCCTGCCTCGCCGCCCCCGCCGGGGAGCGGGAACGCGGAGCGCGGAGGCTGCGAGAACCCGGTGGGGAAGATGCCCCTGGCGCAGCTGCCGGACCCGTGGCAGAAGATGGCTGTGGAGAGCACGGCCGAGAGCAGCACCGAGGTACGGGGGGAGGGGGGGGTGCTGCGGGGAAAGTTGTGAGGAGGGGACGGGACCGGCGCTCCTGCTGCCGCCGCCCCTCGGGGCACGGGCAGACTTTCCCCCCCCGCGGGTTTCTGGGCGGGGGCCGGGGGGCAGCGGCCCGGCGGGGGCACCGGGCTGGGGGCGAGCGCCGGCCCCTGCGCGCCGCTTCCCCCGCGGGGCACTGACTCACGGCCGGCACCGGCCGGGGCTCGGGGCGTGTTTCCCAGGACCGGGCTGCTCCCGGCGCGCTCCCTCCCCTTCCGCCCCCTTTCCCGGGAAGGAGTTAACCTGCCTCCGCCGCGGCCGCCGGTCCGGGCGCTTTTGTTCCAGTGCGGTGTCTGGTTACTGTCACGGCGAGTTTCCCTGCCCGGGGCGGCCCAGGGTGGGCAGGAGGGCCGGGCCTGCCCCCCGCCGTGTGCCCGGTGCCCCCCGCCGTGTGCCCGGTGCCCCCCGCCGTGTGCCCGGTGCCCCCCGCCGTGTGCCCGGTGCCCCCCGCCGTGTGCCCGGTGCCCCCCGCTGTCCCCGCTGTGTCGCCGCTCTCCCCGGGGCGGCCGAGGGCCGTGCCCGCCCGGTGCCGCTGCCCCCTTATCTCGGCAGGATGGGGTTTGCCGGCAGTTTCGCAAGCGTTTGGGAAACCGCAGGGACGTTTCGCACGGGCGAAGCTTTGTGCTGGGCGGCGTTGCTGGGAACATCCCCGAGGTGCCGCGCAGTGTGGGTTTCCCGCTGTGGGTAGCGGGGCGTTCGCGTGGTGCGCCTGTCCTTGTTGGGCAGGACGCGTGTCGGCTCTCCTAGGCTGGGATAATGAGAGCGGCTGGAAATTAAGAGTCGCTTGCGTCCGAGGCCGTAGAAGGCTTCAGTTACGTTAATTTTTTCTCTACTACTGTGTTGGTTTGGATCTGTGTAAACACTACACCTACACAGTCAGTCGTGCTTGCTCCGTGAGTTCCTAGTAGCCCACAATGCGTCTGCTAGTTTGCGACCAGACTCCCATCTGGAAAGAAAAAGCTTATTCTGACAGTGCAGCTTCTACCTGAATCGGCTCCAGCTGATACGCAGCCAGGCTGCTTCAAGTGATGCTGATCTTGAACGGTGTGGACTCAGGCCAGCTCAGAACAATTAGTCGCAAGGTTAGGACTTGTTCCTTAGTGAGAGAGACCAATGCAGTTTCTGCAGTATCGGTATTTGTCCTTTTGATGTTTGTCTTGTCATCCTTCTGTTCAAAGGGACTTATCTCTGGGGGTCAGAAGAACCTGCAGTTCAGATCTGACAGGCAGATATGTCTTTCAAATTCTTTCCAGTTACTCTAGTTACTTTTAAATTCTTCCTAGTTATTCGCTGATTTCTGAAGTAGTAATCTTGGATGATTGTTTTTAAATGGGGAGTAACTGCAATAGTACTGTGATGCTTGAGGGTGAGGCAGAAGGTGATAGGAGAGAACACTTAAACTAATCACTTAGAGAAAAGATCTTGGCTGTTGCTTTAGTCTTCCATGCTCATTGCATGCACTTTGTAACTTCAGGAACAGTGTATGTGCTGGATAGGTAGCACAATAGATTACATTATTTGAAATGTGTGTACGTGCGTGATTATACTTTGTTACTTGTTTTAGCATATTTGAGACATGATTTGTTTTTACTGTTGCCATAAACGTCTTGAAACGAGTGTGTTTTGCCTGTTCCTAAAAAAAAAAAAAATAGTTAAACACATTGACAAGCCTCTACAGTAGTTTATCACCAAAGAATTTCTAGGACCACTAACAAAACATGAAACAGTAATGAGCTGACAGATTTGCACTCTAAGACTCTAGTCTAGAATAAACACTCAGTTCTTGAAAACACCAGGCTGCACCTGTAAAAGCTTCTCAGACTCAAAAGGAAAAAGCTAGGCTTAGAAAGGTTGCTTACCTAACATGAGTCTTCAGGAAAACATGTTATAATAAAAATAGATAAGTTGAAGTCAAATATATAAACAAATGACCTAAATACATAACTTAGATTTTTGATTTGCATGAGTTGTGTTTATGTGTAGCATAGCAATATCCTAATTACAGACCCTATCCTGCAAGAATGTCCTTGGGCAAAAATATCTTTTACATTCACTTGGAAACTCATTGTGATTTCAGTTATGGTTTGGTACTAATAAGGTCTTTAGCTGTAACACTGAGTAAAGAGTTTCCGTTAACCTCTCAGATTTGCTGACACAGTTCTTGTACAACTGTATTATCCGCATGGAATTACAAAGTATCGAGCTTTTAAACTCAACTCAGACACTTTCCTTATCTTAACAACTCATGGAGTTTTTAATTGGATCAATTTTTTATTTGCTTCCCAGGGCAGTCCTGTATTTGTACTGGTACCACCAAGGAGGTGATTTTCTGTGACGTGTGAGCACATTTAGGAGGGCTGGAATACCTTTAAATAGCTTTACTTTGGAAGTGTAGTTGACCACAAACAGCTGCTGTAACTTAGGTGTGCAGGACAGCAGATCCATAGAACGTGGTCTTTCTTAAGAAATAATGCGAACAATTTTATTTTAGATAAAATGTGACTTTATAGTTTTCTGAGATCATTTGCAGGACATCTGTTTCTAAAGGTGCTAATAAGTCAGTGACCCACATGGTATCTCTGACAGCTTTTTCAACGTGTAAAACTGTTACACTGTTTTTAAAATATTTTGTCTATGTAATGTGTGGGCTTGGGTTTAAAGCATCCTGTTTTAAATCACATCACCTTTAAAGCCTGTGGAATGATGCTGTCTCTTATCGACTCAGGGTCTGCTCAAGATTCATATCAAGCACGGGGTTTTTTTTTCGTGGTGAGAATATGCCTGTTATTTCAAGTCATTTGCTTTCGAGCAAATTAAGTATTGATGATTTGAGTTTGTATTTGAATGCCTGATAAGTAACCTGATCCTTTGATCTGTATGTACTCCCAGCCATGCATATTAATGCCAACTGGAATAGAATGAATACAGTTATGGCAGCCAAATTTTGGACACCAGTATGTAGAAAGAGTTGGCCATCATAAGGAGATGGCATTTGCTAGACTTTCTTGGAAGCATTTGTGACAGCTATCTTTAGGAGTTTTAATTTGGGTGCTCTAAATTGGCTGTGCAGAAAGTTCATTTTTTTCCACTGCTCCTGACAGGATTTATGGTCACCTGTTTAAGGTATCTAAATAGATGGTATGAATCTCCCTTTACAAATTTCCTGGTTTATATTCTGTATCCACAGTTATTTGAACCTTGTGTGAGATAGGGCACCAGCATATAATAGTCATACTGATGCTTTAAAGAAACTGGTATAATTTAAAATTTGCTTTGTAATTTCATTTGTATGTCAGTGTGACATTCTCTATGTCAATATATACCTATGGCCTGGAATCTGAAATTTTTCTAATGTCTTGCCACCTGTAGTCATGAGCCTGCAGCTGTGATTGTCTCTTCACATTCTGTACTAGTCTGTGTAATCTGTGCTGTACTTGTGTCCCACAGGAACAAAGACTGTATTTACATTTGGTATAGCCAACACAGGTAAAGAATCCAAAGCCAAAGTGGAATCACCTGAGTGGACTGGTCTATGTGGATTTTGAAGACTATTAGTTGTCTCTCCATTATAGCAGAATTCTCTGCAGCACTTGGCTATCACCTCTCCTACATACCTGCTGTCAGTACAGTGCATTCTGAAGTCTGTTTCTCACTGATTTGTGGGCTGACGTTTTCTAAGACTGGGTTAAAAATGGGAATTGGGAATTTAATTCTCATCTAAATAAATAATATACACTGTATTCTACGAACTACTGTGGTAGATAACAGATATTATATATATGTAAATACTTCTGAGAAACATATAATCTGCATGAAGAATGTTTAGGGGGGTGTGTGTGTTTTCTTCAGCTTTTTCATATCCTTATTGGTACCATTTTACCCGCTCTGTGTTTTGGTTAACACAATCCTACTCCATGACAGAGTACTGATGTCCTGTAGCCAGCTGGGTGAGGTAGGAGCAGGCAGATGCTTTGCTCTGTTGAATTCATTACCGTCATGCACTATTGTGTACACTCTGCAGCTCTTGGTTTCCTCATGGAGGTGTTGGGTTTGACTTGTTTGACTGTTCTGTTGGTTTTCTTACGACATTGGCAGTTCTGATCTTGTTATTGTTTTGTTTGTTGTAGCGTAGGCAATATTTCTTACCTAGCTGGGACATCCAACACTAAGTAGATGTGAGCAGACTGAAGTTTAAAGGCTTGTCTGTTGTGTTTGAATTGATTGTGGTCTGTCACATTAACTTGAATTGTTTGTCACTTGAAATGCTTGACTTCAAGTCACAATGAGACATAGACTGAGGTGGGCGTTTAATTATTTCTGCACATCAAAAATGTTAGCTTTGTGTTGACTGATCTTGGCAGTTGGCACATCTACCAGCTTTGAGAACTCATTCAAGAAACTGGTTTGGGGTTGTGTTTTTTCCGTGGTGTTTGTTTGGGGGTGGTGTTTTGGTTTTGGCTTTTTGTGTTGTTTTTCCCCAAATATAATAGCCATATTCCAATAAGGAAACTTCTAAGCAGTTTTTCAGGCGAGAATAAATTTTTTTAATTGTGTTTTTTCAATCATGGTGACTTTCAAGCAGGGAATAATTTAATCAGCAAAACTGGAAAAGTTAGAATCTCTTCAGGGTATTTTTAAGTTTAGACAAACTAAAGTGGTTCGTTACTACACTTGGTTTTCTATATGCTTGCATACGTGATACTGTGCTACTTATTCTCTCCTTATTCCCTGAAATAAGATTAAATGCCTCACCCAAATAAAGAGGAGAAAAAAATCCTGTTGTAACAGATGGGAAAATGAGGCTCAACAGCTTAGTGACCCCACCTAGCATCATTCATGGAGTCTGTTCTAGAACTGGGCGATGAACTCTGATTTCCAGGACCTACTCCAGTGACTTGACCACAAAGTTACCAAGAGCTGATTCTTATCAGTAA